GTGTTGTTGTTATTGTTGTTGTTGTTTTTGTTGTTGTTGTTATTTTTTGCTGTTTTGTGGTATCTTTAAGAGGAGAGGCGCTAAGACTGAATGCCTGATGGCTGTTGGGATGAGTTTATGAGAGCAGCAAAAAAAGTTTGGCTTGCAACATTGAATCGAACTGCGAAGGAAGGACTTCAGCCCTATACTCTCACCTTGAACAGAGATCAGCCAAACATGAACAGCTACAGCAAGAATAACAACTTTAACAATAAAGACAACGACGACAAAGCTTATATAATAAATAAAAAGGAAGAAAGTGAGATTCGAAGCTAGAGCTAGATCTCTTTGGCCGCCAACTTTGAAGTGTTTTAACGTTTTCAATATTTAAAACCCTTTACCCCTCAAGTCTGCAGCAGTTAATGGGATACCCGGTGAAGTGCGTAAACCGTCCAAATGGTCTGCGCAATTTAGAAGATGGTGCAACGATGAATCGGTGGATTCTGTGGATTTGACGCAATACCAGACTTTCTCTTGTTCGGGGAAAGGTGAGGGTTAGATTCATCAAATATTTAGTACTGATTGTGAATCATTCTCACCGATTTGTAACTCAAAACAGTGCGTTATGTTATGCTTGCCGCAAGTTTTTGCTCCAACGTTGAAATTGAAGTCATTAAAATTTATATTTTCCTTTCACTTTCACTCACATCTTTCACTCCCACTTCCACCCCCACCCGCCCCATGTTTCAAAGTATTCTTTCACTAATTAAATGTAATTACGGGATAAAAGGTCTTTCTATGTGGAATATATATCTATCGGTAAACACAATACTATTGTTCATAAAATAAATCCGAATCTCAGTCTTGTATTGCTACTACTTGAGTTTCTTTTGACTCTTGCTGCATGTAAATGTTATGATTATATTGGTTTGATTTTTTAAACAAACCTCATTTTAAGCGAAAACAACTTGATTTTGTTTCAGCCCGTGTTTTTGATCGCTATACTGCTGTTGCGAAGAACGCCAACAATTGTCTGACTGGTAAATGACAGGATCAGTTGTGTGTGCATGTGTGTGTGTGTTGGTGTGTATGCGCGTGTGTGTGTTTGTGTTTATGTTTGGACATATGAGTGCGAATTTGTATGTGTGTGTGTGTGTGTGTGTGTGTGTGTGTGTGTGTGTGTGTGTGTGTGTGTGTGTGTGTGTGTGTGAGTGAGTGTGAGTGTGTCTGTGTGCGTGCGTCTGTGTGTACGGGTGCGTGTACGTGTGTGTTTTATTTTTTTTTTCGTTCGCCCCTTCTTTTCCTTCTTTCTTTTTAACTTTTTATCCTACTACTTTTTGTTATTGTTGTTCCATCAGTAAGCCTCATAATATATCCGTCGCAGCCCGCGTATTCCTGATACACACGGTCTAAGCATCTCGCCTTACTTGTTCTAAAACTACAGTCAATTGGTGCGCAGAATACTTACAATAACAATATTTCTTTCAATGTACCCAACACATCCCTCACCATCACCTCCCCCCCCCCCATCCCACCTTTTCCACGTTCCAATATCAGAGGCCAGTTGAAAAATCTTTTGTGTTGGAGTATGAGGCCACAACCATCATCATCATCATCATCATCATCATCATCATCATCATCAACAACAACAACTACAACAACAACAACAATGTTGCCGTTTTTAGGCTATTATTTTCCTTCCTTCCTTCCTTCCTTCCTTCCTTTCTTCCTTCCTTCCTTCCTTCCTTCCTTCCTTCCTTCCTTCCTTCCTTCCTTCCTTCCTCTCTTTCATTCTAGGCGTTGGTCGCTCATTGCAAGGTGAAGTCCAGCAACTACCTCCAATGTTTTATTCGCACGATCGCGGTTTTCCGTGTCCATGATTTACCCGTCCGCTTTCTCGCCGCCGTTTTGGGGGAAAGGAGGAGGCGTTTGTATTACCAGTATGTATCGCTTTTGTGTTTGCGTTACTAGTTCCAGTTAGTTGTTCGTCATTACCTTAGTTACTGTACCAGGGAATGTGCCACTCTCGACAGCCTTTTGTGAGGTAATTTTTAGACTTTCGTCTTGCACACAAAAGATCGGAGTTCGATTCCCGCCAGGGGAAGTTACTTGTGACTGAATACCCCTGTTTTTTCGGCCTCACATCTAGAGCATGGATTAGCCCTGATTAAAGCAGCCCATCTCCTAATTGGTAAAACGTGTGTGTATTGTGTGTGTGAGTGAATGTGTGTGTGTGTGTATGGGTGTATGTTTGTGTGTGTGTGTGTGTGTGTGTGTGTGTGTGTGTGTGTGTGTCTGTTGTGTGTGCGTGCGTGCGTACGTGAGCAGGCGTGGTAAAATTTCAAACAATTTTTTCAGGATTAGGACAATAAAGATTTATCATATCTATATCTTGTCTTATTGTGTCTCTGAGGATGTATAACTTTCAAAATCAATATCTTATTTTTGACGCCAAGAGAAGGGAGTGTAACATAACTGATATCAGACCGACTCCCTGTAGTAAACAATACAATGTACATTCAACACGACTACATGCCACTCTTCTCTTCCTTTCCCACAGTTCTGTCTTTCGTCTATGCTTCATTGACAGTAACAAAAACATTGGTCTCTTTTTCTTTAACACTAACCAGAGGGAAAATATACTGGACAAGATGACAACATGGCTAGGAGCAGCAAGAACAACAGACACCATATTATTTATTATTGCTGCAACGCAAGACAGAGTGAAGTGGAGGTCCATGATCGCCCACGCCAGTCGGCAAGGCACCGGATGATGATGAACCAGACTCATGAATAATGATCAAATAATTCTGTTTCTATGAACAGCTTCTTGCAGTGATCTATTTCTCATTCCTATCTACAGAATGAGCTCATCTGTTAAAATCGCGCTTGCAATGCCTATTTTCTCTTTACGTCAATTGTTCAGCAAGGTCTCAAGAGCAATATTTCGTCAAAATGTTTCATTTTAATGATTGTTTGGGCTTTAATTTGAGAGATAAAAAAGGAAACAAACAAGGCGGGTGAAAGGCCAAGGGAAATAATATGCAGAACCCTAAGTTTATTGAAAGTAAAATGCATGTATACATTAGAAGATAGCGCCAAGCTTCCTTTCAAAATGAAGCTTAGTATCTAAAGGCAACATCATAATCATCATCATCATTATCATTACCTTTCTCCCCATGCACCAGGGTATAGGCTACGGACAAACACTTTCCACCTTTCTCTATCCTGAGATAGCCTCTTGATCTTTTTCCAAGTTTTCCCACTTTTACAAAAGCAACATTATTTAAGTATTTTTTATATTTTTTTTAAAACCCAGGCAAAAATGTGTCTTTGTAAGTACTGAAGACATAACTTTGGGACTTTCAACTGAATTGCTTGAAAAATAGACAAAAGAAAATGTTGAAACTGTATTATCATCTTTTTGTTCTTTTTAACGTCTGATAATATCATGGATATGTGCAGCAAAACAAACCGTCACCACTACGAAAATACCAAAACAAATACATTGATAAATTGATAGACATGTAGAGCAACATGTAAATGTGGGAACTGTTAAGCAAACAATATAAATAAATAAATAAATAAATAAATAAATAAATAAATAAATAAATAAATAAATAAAAGGGTCCATAATGTTCTTGTTACTGCTGTTGAGATTCCACCTTATTTTAACTACTGTTTCCATTTTTTAGTGTGGCATATTATATGTATATTATTACACCAATTTTCAAATGATAAAAAAAATAGATTTTTGTTTTTGTTCATCGGGCTGTCTTTGTCATCAATGGCGGTGATGATGATATGTGTGCGCATTTCTAAAACGGTATCGCTGCAATTAATTGCTTTTTGTTCGGTTGGTATTGTTTGTAGGGAATTTAGTCTCTCGCTGCTTTCTCTTATTTTGATAAACCTTTATGTGTCCTACCGTCTTGAAATTCAACAACTGGCTTTGAAAAAAGAAAGTTCTGAACTAGAACAAGGTCGGTAAAAGCAAAGTGCGTTCACATAATATATGACTAAATCACGTGGATGACGTCATACTCATCTTCTTTATCTTAACCTTTATCGATGTTTATCATTATTAAACGCTACGTAATACAAGGTCTCGTGGTACATCCCACTAAGTGGACTATGGTTTGTGGTTACATCCCCGCCGTAACGTTTAGAGGACAGTGTCCATGACTAAGACTTCTACTACTACTACTACTACTACTACTACTACAACAGTCACTACTACATCATGTACTGAGATTCCAAATGGTCCCTTTGAGAAAAAGAAAAAACTTTTAGAGAACAAGAAGAAGGAATAAATGGCCGCGTGTGTGAGCGGCCGAATGTCAATATCCCCAGCAGTATCCTGAGGGCCGTCGCTGTGTGAGCTGCTAGGGGGGCCAGCGAGCTCCTGGCTTTGTCCACGCATGGAGCCCTGCAAACGTTTGTTGTCACTGTGGCTTTAACGGAGAGCTCTCCTCTCGGACGAGCTAGGCTAACAGATTGTCATTGGCTGCGGCCGCCTTCACTCAAGCGCGGAGAGTTGCCCGTTAACCCGGCCTCTAACCCGTCCTCGAGCTCCGGCCAATAGAAGTCGGGTGGAAGAGGGCGGGGTTTAGCTACGGGTCGATATGGCCCTATGGGCCACTGCGCGTGCGCGGGGGGAGCGGCTTTTGTAACCGTTTCTCCCGTCCCTTTTATCCGGCTGTGTGCTGGTGATACGACAAGTCCCCCGCCTGCCTGTGTCCATCTCTCTCAGCGCAGCAGTGCGACCTCTAGAGCGCTATAGTACCTACTCGTAGACGGCGACGAGGAACCATTCAAGACGGTCGTCGAGGCTTCTTCTGGAGAGCCGCGAGTCGTCTGCGAGAGTCTCTTGTCCTGCTTGTTGTTGTTGTTGAACCAGTCTGTGGTGGTCGTCGTGCGCGCGAGCAGTCTGCCTGAGAAGTGTAGCAAGGCGGCTAGGGCCACTGTTAGCAGCACAACTGGAGCGCTCGTAAGTCGCTGTTTGCCTCTAATCACTGCTACTTAGGGCCCTGAGACAAGGGAAGGAGAGGCCCTGTAAGTTGAAGGCCTCCATGCTTCAGTAAATGACTGATTTATCCACACCCGCCTTCTCAAACTCTCATAAGGAAGTGGACAAGATTTCCTCAACGGCACCTAGGAGATACTTTTGAGTCCTGGAAAACCTTTCTGCACTTTTTTTACATGTCAAATTTTGTGAACTTTCGAGAGGAGAGGATTTTTCTCCCACCTGACTTGTAAGAGGAATCAAGTTTCTGGAGTGATCGTCCTGCATGGGAGGACATGCACAGTTTCTAGAGAACGGACCCCCGCCATCTTAGTGGCTCACTTGAAGATTTCCACCATCCCCAACCTGGACCAGACTCGGTGGGTACACCTTCCTTAGTCACTGCACACTCACATTTTATAATCTCACACACACACACACACACTCACACACACACACACACACATACACACACACACACACACACACACACACACACACACACACACACACACACACAGATATATAGAGAGATGCAACACACACAAACAATATTATCCTCTTTCTGCAAGAGATTATTGAATATAACTCACTGTCCCCTTCTCCTGTTAAATATGACTGGCTATAGTACTTTCTCTCATGCACAGCGAGGAAAACATATCTTTATGTCGGTGTTTTGCCGGAGCAAGGCTACTGCTTGCAAATTTTTCCAACTTTTTCTGTAAACGTGAACAAAACCCTCCCCAAAAATGACTTGGAAAGAAAACTATCAACACATTAAAATCTATTTCGAGCTATCTTTATTTTTTCCATCAAAGAATAGCTCCACCAGATTGCCTCAATAGTTGAGAATGTACTCACAAAATTACTGTACGTGGGGTACTCTTAGTAACCTAACGTTTTTCCAATTTCTCAATCATGACTTCCGGTTTTGCTCTCCCAATGGTACAATTAATTGTCGACTACTGGACAACTAAATTCAGAAATTAATTACTCTTTTTTTTTCTTCAACTGCAGTTTACCTTGCAACTTTAGAAGCTGCGGTTTCAATTAACCGATTCCTCACTACCAATGACATTTACACAAATGCAGGATGGGCTAAGAAAAACATTTCCTAGCTTCCGTCTCCTACGCTTGCTACCCGAGTTATAACAGAATTATTGTCAGAGCATTGAAGATCGGCAAGCTGGAGGTTAACGAGATCGTCTCCTCCTTATTTGTTTTTAGTGTAAATAGTATCTGTGTCCTCTGGCGAAACGGGGCCATAAGCTGCAACTCACAAACAACAACAGCAACAACAAAAATTACTACAACAACAATAACTACAACGGTAACAATAACAACAACAATAACTACAGCGGCAGCAATAACAACAATAACTATGTACAGTGACAGCATTAGCAACTATTTATGGCCATGGCTATTAATACATTCTCTCGTTTTTGTGAGTTATTTTTAAAAAACAATTCCTTAAACATTCTAAAAATTCTTCGACAATGATTATGTCCCTTATGCTTGATCTGTCTTTGTTTCTCTTGGTGTTGTAATGTTTTCACCATCACTGTCACAGCTGGTGTCGGCGCGGCACGAGTTGCTGTCTCTACTGAGTCAGTCATGCGGCTTCCTTTTGTCGCCACTGTTGCTTTTTTTCTGTCGTATTCTTCATTATTTTATCTTTTAAAAAATGTTTGTTAACAGTCCTCCACCTAAGAAAGACATAAGCAGTCCCGCCAGTAGCTCGTGAGCGCCATGCACAAAGTACGACTCACACAAGGGAAGTCCATAATACTTGGTCCACAAAGGACATGAACTAATTAATGATGAGCAAGAGAGAGGGTCTCGATCAATACTACGTCGGGTTTTATGTTTTACTGGCAATTAACTTAATTCACTTACACTGGGAAAAATTTGTTCGTGGCTAGAGGGTAAAAGTGCTCCAGGACAAGATTGCAATGTTTAAACAGTTTTGTAGTAAAGCATAATAACGATATTATCAAGAAAACAAGTCACGGATAGAAGGGGGTAAATACTAATCATTTTAAAACAAAAAAAAGCAACAACCAAAAAACAGCGTAGCGCGTCTTCATTTACGTTTGTCTCTGAAGAAAGTTGCATCCTTAGTAAAGTCTAGTCCTCAAGGCGTAAAAGACAATGTGTTTGTGTATACATGTGTTTGTGTGTGTTTGGAAAAAGAATGGTGGGGGTGGCTACCAGACTGTCAGTGATGATAAAAACTATAATTATACGATACGTACTAGATAATTTAATTAAGCAACAAAAAAAAAAATCCTTTTGAGGAATTTGCGACAAAATCATGTCAATGACATCGTTAACAAGGAGAGAGGGAAAAAAGGTTGAAAAACTAAAATATTTTAATGATGATGCAAAACAGCAACCAGGGAAAAATGTGCAATAACAAAAATCAATCAAATTATTAAACTTTCATGATAACGAAACAACAACCACATTCATTCACTCTCACTGAATAAACAATTAGTTGATTTGGTTCCTTTGTTTGCTCGTAGTAAACAATTTTACTTTCTTTTGTCATACATGTAACTTATAAACTCTTTATAACTAACTGGGAACATTTAATCTCATTTTTCACTCGCGGGTTAAAGCAGTAAAAAAGGATACACAAATTAGATTTGTATTTACTCTTCATTGCCACCTATGTTATTGTAGTTCTGTTACGAATTCATCAGTCCAAAGTGAGAAAGGGAACTGTCTGAAGAACTACCTGGTTAGTTACCGAACTAATTAATTAATAAATCAACTTCCGCAAGTGCAGAATTTCTGCTTATTTGTTGTTGTTTTTTGCGCTTATCGAAATCAAAACTCCCCCCAAAATATAATAAAATAATAGTAATAAAATAAAATAAAAACAAATAGAAGATAAAAGGCACCGAATTAATTCTTACTGTTCTTATTTTGGGCTTTAAGATGTGCATCAGAACCCCCACCTAAAACATAGATTTAAAAAAAAAAGAAAGGAACGAACGAAAAGAAAAAAAATATATAGAATAATGCAACAAAACAACAGAAGAAACAGCAAGCTATCGCAGTACCGACTAACTAGCAGAAAGAATAATTTTTACTGCTTGGTGAAAATATTGTACTGTTTTGGAACACGGCCATTTAACTGAATAAACATAAATTTAGTAGCAGTGGATTCTTCCCAACTGAATGAGCCTACAAAATAAGTAAACGGTTTGACAGCAATGAAAGAATGGACTGGGAAATTAAGATAGATAAGGTAAATCTTTATTGTCCTGATCCTGGCACATTTGTTTGCTTTTTTCTCCACGTACACGCACGCACGAACGCACGCACGCACGCACGCACGCACA